AAAAAAAATTAACAAACATGTATAAGAATTCGGCCTTTCTCGACTAAGTTGTAAAGCAGTATAGCTTCCACAACAACAAAGTCATAATTCTGATCGTCTATGTCTCTTTTCTTTTCTATTAAAGATATATTTGGACCAAGCGTTTTTTTTCTACGAATCAAGAAACGTCGATAAACAGATTTAATTACTCAATTAACCATAAAAGAGCTTTAAAAGTGCACGTTCTTCACATTTTTGGTCGTACATTGACCTTCTTACTGACCTACTTATCTGCCCCTGTTACAGTATATACAGCTCAGCAAGTAAGCAGGAAATATCACTTTTCGGGAATATCTTGGTATATCTTAGTTATGCCATTTGAAACTACAACATATGTTGGCATTTGATCAGTTCTTGTGGCAAAAATTTGCATCTATGAAATATCGAAGTAACACAGAGTTACTTGGGCGTGACCACAATGTTCTGCCGCTGCATGGTGAGGATTGAACTCAGATGGTCAACTGAAAAATTCACAATCTAGGGGAAAAAGTAAGTCCTTTTAGCTAGTCATAGATTTGGGCAAATACTACCTCCCCATCCTCAATGGGAGTAGGATTGAGTAGCCGGCTTGCAGCATACACAGGTGTTCAAACACATGGGGGCCTTCAAGAATGAGAACAGCCAACCCAGTGTAGTACAGGTGCAACACTGCTCAGACACATGCTGGTCTTCAAGAATGAAAATTAACAGTTAACCCATTGTAATACAATAGCGCAAGAAGTGTAACCTAGGACTACCGCCTGGTGATGAGTATATGGACCACACAGACCACGATCTAACAGACGACCGAAGCCAAGGAAAGTGGTGAGCATTGGTAAGCATCCCACAGCTGACTGTACACTAACTCGATCACCTACAGTGTATATAGGAGCCCAATGTTAGCAGCTAGGTGTTGTGATAATCAGACTAACTTTTAATTATATTCCAGAATTTTTGTAGAACGTCCTGGAATATAATAGATAACTAAGAACATTATAGGATTTAGTACATCATGTAATCTGTAAAGGCAAAAGCTTGACAAACGAAATTCAATTTTTACTTTGTATCTCTTATTTCAATTTGCAAAGATCTTCTCTGTATGTAGACACTTCGTGAATTTCTTTGCTGACGTCATACCAAGAGATGACGTTTCCTCCAAAATTATCGCCACAGTTTGCCACTGCTGCCACGTTTACATTGTCGGTGTTCCAAACATTGATGCTAGTGATGTCACCAACATATGCTTGTGTAGCATCAAATCCGCCGCCTACCGTATCTTGATCTTGTCCAACAATCCAAACTCCATCTTAAAATAAGTTGAACAAATAACATATAGTCGTTTGTTTTATTTCATTTCATTTTCTTATGATTCTAGAATTAAAGAATATGAATATACAATATGAAGGTAGGTATACCTACTACAAAAGTAATTGTGCAGCATAATTAAAGTGAGTTGAAAATCAGTGCGGGATGTGGGAAGAACAAGAGGTCCTTTGAGTACCATTTGCATAAAACATATCCAGGTTACCTTTCTTAGGTGTCACGGATATATATATATATATCCGTGACACCTAAGAAAGGTAACCTGGATATGTTTTATGCAAATATATATATATATCATAAAATTGACTTATTACTAAATGAAAAGTATTTTCTTACTTGCTGGTATGGTTTTGTCTGCCTGGAAGCCAGTGCCCGCCGCTGCAGGCATGCCGTCCTTGTAAACCGTCCACTTGCCACCACGATTGTTCCAAGAGAAGCACCAGTGGTGCCAGGCCCCATCATGGACTTTAGACACGGATGTGTCTTTTATTGCGTTAAATACCAAGCTGTAGATGACTCCATTCCCATTGTACGCAAAGAGGAAAGCGTTGTCCATAGAACCCACGGCGTAGGACAGGAAATGTGAACTTCCGTTTCCAGTAAAGGCGGTCTTAGCCCTCAGGCACGCTGTCATGGCGGTCATCGCAGGAGTGGCTGCCTGCAGCTTCACGTAGCTCTTTGTGGTCTTTGGCGATGGCAAGCGAAAGATCGAAGTTTTATCTGGAAATAATTAAGGGCATTTGTCTTTAAATATGTCACAGGGCTTCCATCTTTGGGGCCGTTTCAACAGATAACTGCAGCTTTGTTTTTAAAAGTTTGTCTTAAAAATAAAAGTTGATTGAACACAATTTGTGTCAGATAGTTTTACAAGTTTCTAATCCACACCGTCAAAGTGGACAAAAAAGTTTTATTAAATGGCCTTTGTCACCAATGAAAGTAAATGATCGTTTCCAAGAAAATGACAACCTGTTCAAGTAGCACTGCTAAAAGATCGAAAAAGAAACGTAACTTAATTGGCTGAAAATTCTTAGCACTCTTTGGTTAAACAAATGTCATGTGCCTGAGTCATTACTACGCGAATCATTCCACAAAAGGGGAATATTGTAGTCACGCAGTGATGCATTTTGTATTATATTTAAATATTAAACTTTTAAAAAACTTTAAATAATACACTTCTCTGAATCGCTTTTTATAATTGTTGATATATATATCAACAATTACAAAATATATAATATATATAGTGCTTATTGTCTGCCCTATTTTTTTACAGGATACTGCAATATAAAACTACAAAAATAATGAGACAAGTGAAAAGTATGCAAATATTATGCAAAATCGGTAACTTACCGACGTGATCCACTTTTTTGTGAGATACCATGGATATGTGACCTTTAAAAAATAGGGTCTATTTACTAAGCCGTTATCCTTCCTGAAGTATAGGCAAAGAGAACAACTTACCAGAGATGGACAACCCAGCGGAGAGAAGTAAAACAGACGCTGTTAAAAAGCGCATGGTTCTTCTCTGACAGGGCTCCAGATGAGTATCACTAAACAGGCGAAAGGCTGTTAGTATACTCATGCGTAAATTACTACTTATATAGTGCTTATTGTCTGTCCTGTTTATTGAAACATCACGTTTCTCGTATCAGATAATAACCAGCTACACGGATGTAAATATCTGACTACAGGAACTGAAGCTTAGAGCCAATTATAAGTTCATATCAAATATCCGACCTAAGGATATTGTCACCCTTCACCCAAAACTTCTTATTTACTGCCTTACAAACATTATTTTGGGTAATAGATAAATCTTCAGTGTTTAGTGACTAAATGAATTAACATTTTCACACATGTCATCGTATGGTGACGTCATGATTGAGATTTGGGGGTGAAAACTAAAAAATCGGTTTCTCAAATTAATCTTTAGCCTGGGCACCCACGACACCGTTTCAACGCCTATTCAATGACACCATATAGTACCCCCAAATCCTGCCAGTGATTTTCTTAAAAGTTTTAGTTCAGACTGCATCGTTGATAAAGCAAAACAAAGCCCTTCTTTATAAAAATCTGTAATTAGGGGCTCATAACTCCATAACAAATATATATATATATATATATATATATATTTTTTTTTTTTTTTTCGAGGTTTTTTTTAATTGATGCATTATTGAATAATTAGATACAGGAAAAATCTCATTTTCGGTATCTGGATGATAACAAAGGGTTACAATATCCTTAAAGCCCAATACCCGTGCACGTTTACTGACGATTTTCAACAATTGAATGGGAAACGACTGTTTGAGGTGGCCAAAAAAAAAAAAAAGGATTTTCCTGGTTTAAACGAAAATTTCCCCATACTTGCAAAATGTTAATGAATACATTCAGACATTCTCATTTAGTTCATGTTTTTTATATCTTTTTTTTTTTTTTTTTTTTTGTAATAATCTCTTAAAGTATGGTCATCTACGAAGGTCCACATGGTCTGATGGCAAGCAGAATATTTACAATAATGTCGCGGTTCACGTTTGTAAACCTGTCAAACTTCGCCAATGTGCATACACATTTTGGGGCTGGCAAAGCAACAATTGCATAACGTCAATTATACTTGTGGCTTCAGTTGCATTGTATATCTGCATAAAAGAACAAAACCGCGTTGATAAAGTTTGAAGAGGAGACGCGCTCTGTTTTGAAGCGTGTTAAGTACGTGAACCACTCCATGGTGAATCTCTCTGATGACAAATACTTCTTTAATCATATTAAGAAGATAAACAGCATAAAATTATGTAACCATAAATAATCAAATTTTACCACCTCGACGGACCTCGACGCCGGCCACTCATCTGGAGTGGGTTTGAAATTGCACATAATCTAGCTGTTAGTGCGACAGCTGAGATTCAAGGGATAACGGAAAATGGAAATCATCGCTTAATTGCTGTAAACCATCATCAGACGCGGTCGTGCGTACGGCTTCAATGTGTGCTGGGGATATTTGCGGTAAATGTCGAATTTGTTATCAATCTTCAGGTCCTGTAGTCAGATATTACATCAGTTTTATGGTTATTATCTGATACGAGAATCGTAATGTTCCAATAAACAGGACAGACATAAGCACTATATAACTAACAAATTACGCTAGTTATTATCTATTACGAGAATCGTAATGTTCCAATAAACAGGACAGACATAAGCACTATATAACTAACAAATTACGCTGGTTATTATCTATTACGAGAAACGTGATGTTCCGATAAGCAGGACAGACAATAAGCACTTTATAACTAATTACGCATACATATACTAACAGTATTTCGTCTGTTTAGTGAAACTCACCTGGAGCTCTGTGCGTCAAGAACCATGCACTTTTGCAGCGTCTGTTTTACTTCTCTACGTTGGGTTGTCCATCTCTGGTAAGTTGTGCTCTTTGCCCATACTTCAGGAAGGATATAGGCTTAGTAGTAATAGAAATGGACGCACCAGTAGGCCCTACTTTTATCAAGGGTACATACTAGTATCTACGTTGTTTCATTCCACGAAAAAGTAAACATTTGAGCCACGTCAGTAAGTTACCGATTTTGAATAATATTTGCAAAATTTTGACTTGTCTCGTTATTTTTTAGTTTTATATTGTAATACCCTTTAAAATAGAAACAGATGAACAGTGATTAAAGCGATAAAAAGAAGTTTTATATAAATTTTAATTTAAATATTTCAATATTATACAAAATGCGTCACTGGCGTGACTAGAATATTCCTATTTTGTTGAATGATCCGCGTATTTTAATGCCTTAAGCACCTTGCATCTGTTTAACCAAAGTCTGCCAAGAATTTTCATCCTATTAAGTTGTGTTCCACAAAGACACTTTAAAAATGTCCTATTTCGGCATTTTAGCTGCGGTCCTTGAACATGTGATTTCCTTGATTTAATGGAAATGCCTTTTTTACTTTCATTGATTACTACAGCCATTAAATATGATTTTGTCGACTTTGACTGCGTGGACTACAGGCCTACCCAACTACCACACTCGGCACCGAATGATCCTGAATTCACCGGTGGGTCGGACCACTACCCGTTTTCAAGTTGTGTATCAGTACGCGCTTGGAAGTATCAGACGCGACACCACTATTGCCTAGTACGCGATGTGATAGTGAGGATTCTCAGCGGGGTTGGAAAGTAGTGCATCTCATTTCAAAATTTGATAGTGTGAAATGCGTACTGGCGCACACCTTGAAAACGGGTAGTGTGGTCCGTTCTACCGGCGAATTCGGGATCATTCGGTACCCACTGTGGTAGTTGGGTAGGCCTGGATTAGTAGCTTGTTATGTAGTCTTAGAAAAACTGCGTTAAGTCGAAATAAAAATCCAAAGCTGCACTTGCTTGTCGAAACATCCCAAAAGATGAAAAACCGGCTACATAGTTTAGACAAATCTCCCGTGATTATATCTAGATAAAACTACAACTCTCCGATGGCCATCGCCACCGACCACAAAGAGCTACGTGAAGCTGCAGGCAGCCACTCCTGCGATGACCGCCATGACAGCGTGTCTGCGGGCTAAGACTGCCTTCACTGGAAATGACGAGTCATATCTCCTGTCTTACGCTGTGCCTTTAAAGGACAACGCTTTCCTCCTTGGGTACAAGAAAAATGGAGCCATCGTACTCTATGTATTTAACGCAATAAAAGACACATCCGTGTCTAAAGTCCATGATGGGGCCTGGCACCACTGGTGCTTCTCTTGGAACAATCGTGGTGGGAAGTGGACGGTTTACAAGGACGGCATGCCTGCAGCGGCGGGCACTGGCTTCCAAACAGACAAAACCATACCAGCAAGTAAGAAATACTTATCATTTATTAATATGTCGAGTATCTTGGGTATATAAATCGGTGACATCTATAAGAAAGACAATCAGTAAATATTTATGCGAATGGCGCTAATAGTCTATAAAAGTAACTGTTGCTGTTGGCACTTTCAGTACCAATCTGGATAGTTGTCAGTTTTGTGCCGAAAATGTATTTCTGATAGGTACCTAGTTTATAAGGTATTCAGAAAATTTATACTTACATCATCAAAAAATGAAATAAAATAAAAAGAAGATATGTTTTTAGATGGAGTTTGGATTGTTGGACAAGATCAAGATACGGTTGGCGGCGGGTTTGTCGCTAGTCAAGCCTATGTTGGTGACATCACTAGCATCAATGTTTGGAACACCGACAATGTTAATGTTGCAGCAGTGGCAAGCTGTGGCGATAATTTTGGAGGAAACGTTATCTCTTGGTATGCCGTCACAAAAGAAGTTCACGAATTGTCTACGTACAGAGAAGATTTTTGCAAAGTCACGTAAGAGATACAAAGTAAAAATCAAATTTTGTTTGTCTTTGACAAATGTATAAATAAGCATCAAAGTATTGACTTTTTAACTTTTATATTAAATCCAGTGTAGATTTTTTGGCACAGATGCTCCAATTAACGACTCCAGCCATAAATTAAGAGTCCCCATATAAAATAAGTTGCCACAATTTGGCCAGCTTGCACCTGGGTTTCTGACTATGAATAATTTGAGAAAAGAGAAGTTCGGTTTTACGTGTCGACCGTTTTCTTTAAAAAAAAAAACAAATGGTTCAAGCCAGAACAGGGACTGAAACCCTTGACCCTCAGATACCTTGATATGTCTTAAAATTCTGATGCTCTACCGACTGAGCCATCCGGGCATTACGTTCTGAGCTTCTCAAGAATATTTTTGCGAAATTAGCAAAGTATATGTGCTGTGTGACTTAAAAGGGAGATTACGTAAAACAAATATCATGCTCATTTCTTTGTCTTAAATGTAGTGGATTGCTTTTATCTGACCGACCCCTAAGAAGTGATGAAGGTAAATTTAAGAAGCTGTAAATTAAACTTGACTACAAAATCAATGTGTTCGTGTCCAAAAGCGAAATCTTTGTCGCTTTAAGGATGCTTAATCTGAGGCAGAGAGGTGTCTTTCATTCAGTAAGTTATTACTTAAAATACTGTCATGCACACAATCAGCTATTTTACACAAAAAGTTTAACAATAATATCACTAAAATAAAAGATTTCTAGTCCCTGTTTGAGGAAAACAATCCATGTTCAGATACACAGGTGACCCTCTTTTTGGTCAGGACATCTTTCCTTTAACGAAGTTCTTTAAACATGGTAACAGAATCTCTGAAATGATAAAACAGGAACTACAAGTGGCAACCTCAACAAAACAATTTTAAGACGTTAAACATGACAAGTATGGCAAATATGGCGCTGAAATGGACTTGAACCCCTTCACTAGCCACTGGCGTCGTGGACGGTGCGGAGGAGGTGGACCTGGCGAGTATCTCAGGGATGGTGTCTAACCACAGGTCAATGCGCCGTGGTATGACGTCACTTTTATTGACGATGACGTCACCAATGTCTAGATACTCCTCCCTCGTATACGTATACTGGGGCCATGGACTTGGTACAGTATCGGGATTGTAAGGGTTTCTGGAAAGTTGCAAACTACAAATATTTCAAAGCTTAAGGTAAAGTGCAGTGTACGCGTTTGAATATTAACCAATGTCATATTCTCCACATCTATATCCCGCACTTCTTTACACATCTAACTATGTACGTCTTCAAAGTAAACGTACTCAGACTTACCCAGTTTTTGCAAAGTTTGCAAAGTAGATCATAAAAGCTCTGGGAACGTTCTTTTCTAATTCCGTGAAGGTGCCGTTGAATAGAGCAGTACCGTCAGGCCCTAACATGAAGACGACCTCGTCCCCGTGGTTTACTCCCTTAAACCACTCAGGTACTAGCAGGAGATGCGGGAATGACGGTTCCTTGGTGAAGTAGTAAAGATAGGTGGAGCCACCATAAGATGATTTCTAAGGAAGCCAACTGTCGGTACAAAAAAATAGATATCAGTATAGAGGTTGACCATTAGGTGACCAGTCATTACCATGCTGGTATTAGCAATGTAATACACTTCTCTTAGTTTCTGTGCTATTTCATCTTTGTGGTAGGCGGAAGTCCGGGAAGCAAACTGAGGAAGAGAAGTGTCCTTCATAAAAGAGGGCGGTACACCAAGGGTTATGTTGGTTGGTGGGAAAAGGAGGTTAACTCCGCCATCAGAGTCCGTGAATCCACCCATGTAGTCTAGGGACAGAAAATGTCTCAGCGCAGTTGAGTTGGGATCCTTCAGCATTTCTTCCAAACTACGAGGAAACATGTCGCCGTCGACAACAGGGGCAAAAAGGGCTGAATACCGTCCTGGGCACATTGACTGGTCGGACGCTTTGAGCAGGGCGGTAGCATTGGCTGCACGGAGACAGACCACCAACGATGCTGCAGTGTTACACCCAAGATTTTGTCCAACCTTGGTAGCGACGTCAGGACCGTCTTTTACCCAGGTCCCATCGGTTAGTGCGGTGCCACTCATGGATATAAAACGATGGAAAAGACCCATGGAGGCCACCGTCATAGCCAGTTGTGAAACACTACCGCCACCTGCCGATTCTTCGAAAATAGTCACACTGAAATAGTCATTTAGATACACACAATAAGTCGACACAATTTGGTCATAAAATTTCGATCAACCTCTTAAAATGTTACTAATAAAAACGAACTCAGGATGCGCATATAGATACACAGTATTGATGCGTACTAGACAATTAAATACGTTTTACTTGTTATCATTTTGCTCTTTTTTGGGGGGGAAGAATTGCCCACTGTTTTACTCATTATTGAAGAACTTATCCATTTTGTGACAATTTCCATTGATTTAAATTGGTTCATGTGACAGTGGTAAAACACTTACTTATTGGGGTCTCCACCAAAATTTCTTATATTATCTTGCATCCATTTGAGTCACTCTATTTGATCCCAGAATCCAGCGTTACCAGGAGCTTTGGCGTCACCAGTGGTCAAGAATCCAAATGGACCCACGAGGTAGTTGACTGATACCACGATGACGTCATTTCGTACCACTAGTGACATAGAAAACATTTCAGAATTTTCAATACAATTCAACGCCACTGTAACACATGCAGTTTGGAACTCGTACTAAGTTAAGTGTTATATTAGTCTAATTCTCAGGTAATCCTTAGGTAATCGTTGGTAATCGTAGTTGTTTTAATCTTAGTCGGTGTTCTGTTACTGTCAGAAGTCGCTTTCATGTATATGGCTTAATGTGCCTTTCAAGCTTCACGGCATTTTCTTTAAGTTAAAATTTGGACGTCACTCTACAGGTGGCATCTCCCTGGGCTGGTCCGACTATTTGAGTCCAACATGGCTAGTCCACTGTCTGGTACGCTGGCACTTCGCCGAGAGCAGGGTCTTTCTCGAAGCCCCATCTCTGAGATTTAAAAAATTACCAGATTGGTGGATAGTAGATATTACCATTTGTTACAAACTTAGTAAAATTTTGTCAATCCCGTGAAATATTTCGACGTGCCATCGGGCCATTTTCATTTGTCTCAGATCAAAGTGACACAGGTAGATATAAAGGCGCCCTCCTGCACCTGTACGATGGCCTCTTAACACGACGGATTCGGTACTATTAGGGGTGGGGGGTAGCTTTGAGAACTCAGGAGTAGGGACACAGTGCCAATGGGCAAATTTACTAAATGATATATGGGATTTTACTAGTGACCATGAACAAAATGTCATTCGAAAAGTTACAATATTTTGATGATATATACACACCCTTGTGCATCAATCGTTACAAAAGCTTCTCGCCCGAACAGGGACTCGAACCCTGGACCCTCAGATACCTTGGCTATCCTTAAAAGTCTGATGCTCTACCGACTGAGCTATCCGGGCGCTCTGTCTCACCTGGTGCTGATTAAAACACCTGCCCAGGTGTTTTATTTAAACAGATGTATCTAAATATTAGACTATATGACCTCAGTATCAGGATTAGGGCTTCTACGACATGATGGCTCTCACGCTATAAAGAACGGTGGGACGATGGGGGGGAGGTATGAACGACTATTTTCCCCCCTCCCCCTCTCCAACACACACACACACACACACACACACGCACACACACACGAAAGAATGTACTCCCGGGAAATTTTTTTGGATCCGATTTAACTCAGCCGAGAAGACAGATGACATAACAAGGGCCCGAGGTGTCTCTCTCTCTCTTACTCTCATCATTACTGAAATGAAACTATACATCAACTTTTCAAAATAATATTTGAGTTGGTCGTCAGTCATACTTTTCAAATTTGTTATAACATGTTTCATAAACAATAATTAAATAGGGTCTATTTCACTATATAGGTGATATACAGATCCGTAGCCAGCAAATTCAAAATTGTTAAAAATAATACGATATTTTAGTCAAATCTTAATGGTTGCCAAAACCCGAAACTTAATACGTTTTATCGGATTTGGGCATATAAGTATGTACTTTCTAGAATATAAAAAATCTTAACAGTTTTTGTTTGGGACCAACAAGTCATGACACATTATTAAAAACTACACAGAATGAGGAAAGGAATAAAAGCTGACATAATTTATCCACGGACATTTTTCTGTTTTTTTTTTTTTTTTTTTTTTACTTTCCTTTTTTCCTTTTTCTTTTTTTTTTCTTTTTTTTTTATGATGTGTCAAATAACAGTCTATTGCATCACCGCAGTGATTCTACGTTTTTCGTGTCACTTTTGCATTCTTTCTAAGACAACATTCCCAGTGAAGTGTTTCATCCTTATCCTTGAAAAGAGAGTCCCATTTGACGTGGATTCTCACACGATTTATACTCACGTGTGACGTCACAAGGTGCTGACAGCCTCTTTTCAGGCTCTCTCGAATGATTCAGAGATTTCCATTCAAAATCAATGACAATAGCCTACTAAACTAGAGTTTAGTAACTACTGGTCTATATCAGAGGGAATTAGTTTCATGATACATTAGCAACATTTCCTTTAACGAAACAACTTCAGATTTTTTCTTGGCTCAAATGGCTCAAAGAAAAAACAAGTTTTGGTCAACGATTTTCAGGCCTACCCAACTACCAGACTCTGCACATAAGGATCCTGAATTAACCGGATCGCATTTCGGAGTATCATACCCCAGAACAAATTTTGTAGGACGACCGTGGGCTCATCCTGTCGGTGTTCTGACTGATACTCCGAAATGCGATCAGACACACACCTTGAAAACGGGTAGTGTGGTCCGATATACCGGTTAATTCAGGATCCTTATGTGCCGAGTCTGGTAGTTGGGTAGGCCTGATTTTGGACAATCTTCCTTTTGTGAAACAGGCCCCAGTTTAACCAAGGAGTTATAACAGACTCCTTGGTTTAACTAATTCTTTTAAGACACGTTACGTAACTTTTAACAGCGTGACGGACATCGACCCCTTTCTGTCATCACTTAAGTTCTGCTGGTACCAGTCCGACTGTCCTGTTACGATGACTTCAGTTACTGTCATTTTACTTTCTCTTCAGCAACAAGTGCATAATTACATACGTGGAAAGAAAAAATACCACTGGCTTGGGAATGGTGAGGATAAACATATTATTAACTCGTCAAGAGTATTTGGAGATTTGGCGTAATGGTAAAATGTATTATGTATGTTGAAAATGAGGACTTTGGGAGATCAATTCATCAACAAACGCAGCTTGGTAGATAGAATAATATCTAAACTGTGACCACACCTTTCATTTCGAGTTAACAGAAGTAGAGGCAAAATGAAACTCATGAAATTTACAGGGGCAAAAGCATGTTTTCGGATCGAAGTTCTCAAAGCAATCGAATTATGTCTTAACGAAATTCATCGCAATTTCTCCAGTTATTTTTTATTTTACTACCAGTGGAATTAAGATATTTTAGACTGGACCTATGTAGCATGATGTTAATCGCTCGTAAAATTCCTTTCGTTTTAGTTCGACGCAATGTGTCACCAGTGCGAGTAAATGGTCACTCCATTAGTAAAGATGTGCTTTCACTTTATTTTCTCTTTCTGTTTGCACGTGCTACCTTTTTAAAATAGGTTCTGTGACATCATCATGTGTCATTAAAACGTAAAAAATGTAACTTCAAATGAATCATATAACTTTTGTTTGTGTTTCTGCCTTCGTTATCTCTGAAACTGTCTGCATTTCTATCAGAAATAATTGTATTGCAATTTCACCTTTTGTCTAGAAATAGATAAAGATAGCTGTGGTTCCCGGTCTGTAGCCAGCAATTTCAAGGGGTTGGGTTTGGAAATGTGTAAACAATAAATCACGATAACAATAGTGCCCGTCCTCAGTTTCATTAACATAGTTTGGCTCTCTCTCCATGCAAAGTGCTGCCCCCCACCTGTAGCTCGTTTCCGCCTTCACTAATTCCAAGTCGTGCAAGGCACCTGTTAGCATATGACGGTTACACTTCACATAATGAAAGTTAGAAAGTTAACTCCCCCTGCTAACCCCCCTTTTACTGTGGAAAATCACTAGTTAGGGTTGGATATATGTTGACGCCTCTTTGCGTACAACGTTCAAGATAATGGTAAGGGAGGGTATGGGTAAAATGAAGTTACATAAGCTTAAAATTATCGATCATTTTGTCAACGAAATAAGGTAGTCTGATGGGTGGGTGATCATAAACCATAACCACAAGAACCCATATAAAGCCAAGTTTTGCACAAAAAGAGTGTATTCCAAAGCTGACTACAATCGAAGTTTGAACGACATTTGATCTACAGTTAGTACGCACGTTTTCAGCATGGGAAAGGTTGCGATTTTTGCGGTTTTGCTGGCTACAATGTTATTGGTGGAAATGTTCGCTGGTTCTGAAGGTATGTTCTTTGTCTCATATTTATTCGTGCCAATGTTTCAACGTGTAATTAACTTTTTGCAGNTATACCGGTTAATTCAGGATCCTTATGTGCCGAGTCTGGTAGTTGGGTAGGCCTGATTTTGGACAATCTTCCTTTTGTGAAACAGGCCCCAGTTTAACCAAGGAGTTATAACAGACTCCTTGGTTTAACTAATTCTTTTAAGACACGTTACGTAACTTTTAACAGCGTGACGGACATCGACCCCTTTCTGTCATCACTTAAGTTCTGCTGGTACCAGTCCGACTGTCCTGTTACGATGACTTCAGTTACTGTCATTTTACTTTCTCTTCGGCAACAAGTGCATAATTACATACGTGGAAAGAAAAAATACCACTGGCTTGGGAATGATAAGGGTAAACATACTATTAACTCGTCAAGAGTATTTGGAGATTTGGAGATTTGGCGTAATGGTAAAATGTATTATGTATGTTGAAAATGAGGACTTTGGGAGATCAATTCATCAACAAACGCAGCTTGGTAGATAGAATAATATCTAAACTGTGACCACACCTTTCATTTCGAGTTAACAGAAGTAGAGGCAAAATGAAACTCATGAAATTTACAGGGGCAAAAGCATGTTTTCGGATCGAAGTTCTCAAAGCAATCGAATTATGTCTTAACGAAATTCATCGCAATTTCTCCAGTTATTTTTTATTTTACTACCAGTGGAATTAAGATATTTTAGACTGGACCTATGTAGCATGATGTTAATCGCTCGTAAAATTCCTTTCGTTTTAGTTCGACGCAATGTGTCACCAGTGCGAGTAAATGGTCACTCCATTAGTAAAGATGTGCTTTCACTTTATTTTCTCTTTCTGTTTGCACGTGCTACCTTTTTAAAATAGGTTGTGTGACATCATCATGTGTCATTAAAACGTAAAAAATGTAACTTCAAATGAATCATATAACTTTTGTTTGTGTTTCTGCCTTCGTTATCTCTGAAACTGTCTGCATTTCTATCAGAAATAATTGTATTGCAATTTCACCTTTTGTCTAGAAATAGATAAAGATAGCTGTGGTTCCCGGTCTGTAGCCAGCAATTTCAAGGGGTTGGGTTTGGAAATGTGTAAACAATAAATCACGATAACAATAGTGCCCGTCCTCAGTTTCATTAACATAGTTTGGCTCTCTCTCCATGCAAAGTGCTGCCCCCCACCTGTAGCTCGTTTCCGCCTTCACTAATTCCAAGTCGTGCAAGGCACCTGTTAGCATATGACGGTTACACTTCACATAATGACATATTGTAGAAAGTTAACTCCCCCTGCTAACCCCCCTTTTACTGTGGAAAATCACTAGTTAGGGTTGGATATATATTGACGCCTCTTTGCGTAGGCCTACAACGTTCAAGATAATGGTAAGGGAGGGTATGGGTAAAATGAAGTTACATAAGCTTAAAATTATCGATCATTTTGTCAACGAAATAAGGTAGTCTGATGGGTGGGTGATCATAAACCATAACCACAAGAACCCATATAAAGCCAAGTTTTGCACAAAAAGAGTGTATTCCAAAGCTGACTACAATCGAAGTTTGAACGACATTTGATCTACATTTAGTACGCACGTTTTCAGCATGGGAAAGGTTGCGATTTTTGCGGTTTTGCTGGCGACAATGTTATTGGTGGAAATGTTCGCTGGTTCTGAAGGTATGTTCTTTGTCTCATATTTATTCGTGCCAATGTTTCAACGTGTAATTAACTTTTTGCAGTATATATATATATATATATATATATATATATATATATATATATATATATATANCAGCATGGGAAAGGTTGCGATTTTTGCGGTTTTGCTGGCTACAATGTTATTGGTGGAAATGTTCGCTGGTTCTGAAGGTATGTTCTTTGTCTCATATTTATTCGTGCCAATGTTTCAACGTGTAATTAACTTTTTGCAGTATATATATATATATATATATTTATGAGTGCGAAATGCATTTTGACTTTCTATTTACGTCTTATGTCAACTTCATAGTTTCCTTTCATTTAAAGCATTACATCCAAAATTCTAAAACGAATTTACGGTCTGAACAGTAGCCTATACTCGTCTTTATGGGCTTCTGCAATATGTCGAGTTTCGGTGTTGTTTTACAACTGTTAAGTCCAAATATTCCAAATGTATTTATAACATATTCACGGTACATAAGACTTATCAATTTTCCAAAGATATGTTCATTTTCATATTTGTTGTCATTTCATTCATAACCCAAAAGATATTTTTAACTGAAAACTTCCATTTATCCTTTGTGCATAGCTTACATCCTCAGACGAATATTAGGAAGAAGACGCTATGGGCTTCAGGACAGAGGAGACAGCCCGATGCAGGACGAGGTAGGTCAATGACCTATGCATGCTTTGCCAAATTAAACGCTCCGTCAGGCCACAGATTATTGCGTAGCAGTAAAAGTCAAGTGTTATATTAACATCTCAGTCAACGTAATGTTTGTCATTTTGATTTCTCCAAATCTTCAGTGTTCATTTCCACAACGTAACGGACTTTTTAGAGATCAATGCTTACGTGAAGTTATACATTTGCTTGCTAAAATACTGGTCGGTTTTAAGGGTTGTATCTCTGGCAGCATTCACAATATGGATTCTTCTCCGCGTTTCTTTTTTTAGCAAAACCAGCTGTCCGACAATGAACGCGATATGGTCAATAAAGCCCTCAGAGATTTGTTTGCCAGAGAGACGGACGTTTATAACAACAAAGAAGACGATGCCAAATAAAGCCAGATAACTTTCCACGACGCATACTCACATTAAGTGAGAAGGGGCTATAGACTGAAATAAAAAAATTTAAAGAGATGATAATTTTCAACCTAATAATGTTCCACTAAAACACTGTTTATAGAGCAGAATTACTGTTTTCATATATCCACAAGTTGCTGTCTTTTGGGAGAGAAATGTTCAACTGCATTACAAAATAGGAGTTATCAATATTTACACATTACATCTATTAAGTTTTTGTGATTAGTGCATCGTCCAAATTGTTGAATGTAAAATTAAAGAAAAAAATAATTGAAATATGCAATATATAGAGAAGACAAGACTGAATGATCATGAGTAAATTTGCTACAGAAAAAACAAGAAAGAGCATGTCTAGCATACGAATTTAAATCTAAAGGTTCTTTAATACCACCATTGTTTTTTGTGCATCCTGCTTTTTTAACACTGTATGGCGTCGTCAATAAATCAATATTATATAATTTCCATATTATTTATTTGCAACAGACCAAAAGCGGGAAGAAAAGACAGTTTGAACAACTGCAATTAAAAAATTAACGTCTCGCGCTGGCGTGTATTGTCAGGTTGCAAATTCAACCAAGTTCCTTTTTACTCTCTTTTGTTTACAAACTATAATTTCGATATCTAGCTCCCCTACATCTGTGAAAATTTAAAAACAGTATTAAATATTTTGTAAAAACTGCGGTAGCGTGCTTGGATGCAAAAAAAAAAAAAAAAATGATAATAACCAAGCCATGAGCAAACCTTGGTAACGGCAAGTCACGAGCTCAAATCCCAGATGACGTATGAAAGCTCTCGTAGGTACGGGCAAAACACCTTTTGCATAAAAATCCAGTATAGTTTAGAATTGTCGATTCTGACAACAAATTCGAGGCCTGTCGTTCCTTAAAAGATCGGACCCCCATTCAAATAATCCTTTATCCACCCCTGGAGAGACTGTCAATTTTAATGTTTGAATATTATGTAAGATTGTCACCTAAATGGCTGCCATGGCTTTTGGGTGCCTTGGGACCAGTTAAAGGGAGTAGCCCCTCCCCCACCCTGGACGAATTACCTGTAAGAACCCGGTAAAGTGGCACGGTAAATAGTGGCGGATTTATGGGGGTGTCAGGGAGGGTCCTGACTCCCTTCGATTTCTGAAAAATACAATATAAATCATGCCCATGGTCCCCTCTTGGAATTAGACTTTTGACTAGCTGAATCATACATATAGTTCTAAACCATACCAAGTCTTACCTAAAATGCCATTTTCCCCCCGGTCCCTTCAGCGAGCCCCGGACCCCACGCCAAGAAGGGGGGGTGGTCGACTTCGCGTCCGCGGACCCCCCATTTAAAAAATCCTGGATCCGCCCCTGTTATTTATTTATTTATTTATTTATTTATTTATTTATTTATTTATTTATTTTCTGATATCACCGGAAGAAAAAATTCCGATTTCAATTAAATAATAAGCCTACACCTTCACTAGTACATTGACTTCGTCACTGGACTGACTAATTTGAAGCGCATGCGTCATGCACTCCCCAGGTGGCGCAGCTATCGCGTGCTTCATTGGTAATTGGGTCAGATATTATTGCGTTCATTTCAATATGGCACAGGCAGGCAAGTGATAACAAGGTAAGGTAACGGTGTGGTTAACCGTAGAATATTTGTGATATAGCCAGAGTTTTGGTCCATATGTCGTTGTTAAACTTGATGGGATATTACTGTGGCATATGGGGTGAGTTAAACTTTTTAGGGGGGATTTAGTAGATTAAGTAACGGCGGTGAATTTGTTTAATTGTTTTTTTCTGCAAGACTTTGTTTGATTAACTAAATTCTAGTTCAGGTATTATGTTACCGACAAAACGAGTTATTAGGTGAATTACAGGGTCAATGACTAGTCACTGGAGCGACGAAATGCTCATTTATGTTAAGAATGTACACGGGAATTGTTTTTAGTAAGACTTTAATGTGTTGTTAGTTCGTTCTACGTCGATTGATAACTGTATGGCAGGTGGGCAATCGATGTACTTTTCGTCCTTGGCAAATTAGGTCACGAAAAGCTTCTACCTGTCCGCTACTCAGATGCAAGTCAGCATCTTTTCTTCTTAACTAAAATGTAGGTTACGATTTCTAGGCATCACTTTTTACTACACACGGTATTTTGTAGTATATATTAACGTTTGAATTGTTTAGATAGCAAGATCGACAGGTAACTTCTTGTCCGTCTCATTCCAAGGCGATGAGTCATACAGGTGAGAAAGATGATTGATAATAATTAGTAATTAATGCTACTGAAAGGGACCGGAAAGTGTCCACTCCTCAGTTTCTAGATTTGGTTCATCTCTGAATTTATTAAAATCCATTTGGACAGGATAACATGAAGGCAAAGAAATTGCAATATCATGACCTAGTACAGAAAAAACTATGCAGGTAAATTAACAGTGACTATTGTTGATAATGGCTAATATTTGGTTTGATATGATACACGGTAGTTTGGATAATAGGACCACATGAAACTTGGTGACTGTCATGTGAATTAATAAGTTGCTGTCAGAAAAGCCACAGGGGTTGTGTTTTAGCTACAGGAGATACTTAGCCTGAGAGAGAAAGAGAGAGAATGCTTCTGTATGATATGTTTTCTGATATATCTAATCATACAAGCCAACTTTGTGTCCACAATGTCCCTCTCTCCTCTCCCCCCCCCCTGTCTCAAGGGGAGAGGCAGCATGCTTGCCCTGGTACAGCCAGATAAAATGTAGATAGTTCATTCTTTAGGAGCACACATGCACACACACACCACATTACTACATCTGCCTGGTTCTGTCCTGCTGGTAGCTATCTAAACTGCACCAGCTAGTGTACACAGAGTAATGTTATCACTCCTTTACTAGTAATTGGTAGCTTGTGTGTAGCTAGATCATTATCAGTCTTGAAAGAGAACAGGTCTAGAAACCTACAAGAGACCTGCAGTGTGTTTGAGGACAGTGATGAAGAGTATGTTGTATAACTCAGGCGATTATTCTTTTCTTGAGTCATGAGACAGTTGCTGTCAACATATTATATGTGCAGCATGCTTAAACCTGGGTAAAGATGCTATCTTCTGCGTGTGTCTATACAGTGCATGACTTGAATCTTTGGATATGAAAACAAGATTTGTAAGAAAAACTACATTACCTGAATTTTTATTTTTATCTAACAGAGGTTGGAAAAGCAGAATCAATAAACTAACTACTAGTACTTCTCCCTACTGCACTGCACTTTCTGGGGTTTCTTCTGTAATTAGATTTAACATCAGTGTAGAAACAATAAACATTACATCGAGTCCTATGTCTGATGCATATATCAAGTAGGTGATATTATGTCAGTTAAGTTCCAAAATCAAAAAAGGAATCTTCTTCTTCTGTTTTTATCATACACGTTGAATATCCAGTTTTCCAAAAATTATTGATTTTGTCTCTGGTATTGTGGTCTAATAATTAGCTCCCATCTGCCCTCTTTTTTTGTTAATTGCAAATTTCTTTTATTGCCATCTTTCTGCTTTGTGTTAGTCAGCAATGTTCATTGTTCAAAGGGATGGAGTAATCATGCAGTGAAGTCTGGAAAGTGCCAGTTGTTATAATTATGGATTAGAAAGCAATTTGTCCTGTTGGCCACCAGTCACCATAATCTATTCATGATGTAAATTGAACTTCACTCAAATGAAAACAGCACTTTCTGGGGCACAAACGTAAATAAAATGAAGATTTCTGGTCATTTGCAGTGATTTTTTGTGCATTTTGATCAGTAAAGGGTAGACCAGAATGCGGGAGATACTGATGTTGACTGATGTTAATTTTCATTAAGACACACTCTGCTCGAATCCACATTACAGTTACTGTAGTTGGTAATCTACACTGGCAAAGAAAATGCCCAAAGTTCCAGACAGTACCATTAAGACTGTATTACCAAAAAATATTCAACCAAAGGGACCAAAATCAACCTGGAAAAATGGGCTCTTTTCTGAGAACTTGATCTTTTCCCAACACTGCAATTTAACACTGTTTCAAGCATAAATATGCACAAAATTGAGATGGATCACACACCTGACCCCATGCAGGCATATATTTATTGTACTATTTCTTAGTACTACACATCACAACATTCATCAGCTTTTATTGGTTTAGCTAGTCAGTTGTTATCTCTCCACACATTAGCTGTGCCATCTGTCTTCATGTTTAGTGTTCTCCAGGGCACCATCACTGGTTAACCACAAAGAGGTGGTGTTGGACTGCATTCCCACAGATTTAGAACGATCTATCTGGATCGACATAACTCCCTGGAGGTTCACGCTAAATTGCTGTCAGCCAAGTGCATGTAAGTTAATTACCCCCTTACAGCTTTTAGTAGGCAGGAGAGACATTTAAGCTGACTAAGCTGACAGTAATCTAGTGAGACTCCCATGGAGATCAATCTAAAATATGTGGGAATGCAGTCTTATGCTTTCTCTCCCCCCCCCCCCCAAAGTCTTATTTACCATTTGTAATATATTGAATGTGAAGTTGAGTGCAGTCTGTAAGTAGCTCAGAGAGAGATAATCATAACAACTTTTCATAACCTCTAATGAATGAGGTTTATTTTTGCTTGATTTTAGTTGCCAATCATATGCATTGTCATGTACACTAACATGTTTATTGACACATTATTGTTTTGCTAAATTAAATTGACTTTTTCTATCCCTGCACAATACAGCATAATCGCTGCTTTTTTAAAAATATATATTGATTATTTATTTTGCAGATACTGGATCAAAGGGGAATCAACAAAGTGAAAAAAGTCAAACAAGAGGAAAGACAAGTTCTGAGATATTGATATCTATAAACAGTTTTGCATAAATTGACGAGACAATTATCCTTTCACTATGGGGGACTTAAAATGCCTGATAATGGTGCTTGTGTTAGGGACAGTGAACTCCCAGAGTAATAGGACTAACAACACAGGCAGTGTGTCCACATCTTCAACAACAATGTCGCCAACAACACTGAAACCTACAGGCACTGTTAATACGTCAGTCACCATTCCATCAGCTGCTTCACAAAATTATTCTTCTACAACCACGGCAGCAGCACCTTCAACAGTGAAAGACGACTCAAGCCAAACGCCTAGAGGATTTCTCACTCCAACTTTACCACCGAGAACCACAACTACTGTCATGACAACCAGCACCTTAGCACCCGCAAACTGCAGTATTTGTGGCGTGCAATGTAATAACCAGTATGAACCTGTTTGTTCAAATCTCGACTTTAAACAGATACCAAATACACTGGGTAATATACGATCGCTTGACGCTTCCAATAATTCTATAGTAGAGATCTCAAACAACAGTCTCCCCTATCCCAATCTTCTGTACCTTTTCTTGTCCCACAACCACATATCACGTTTCCAAGAAGGTTGCTTTGATCGCACACCAGTTCTGGAACATCTGGACCTGAATTACAACTTGATCACTCAGCATACCTTTCGTACCCAAACTGTGTTTGCAGGCACGCCAAGTCTTAAAGAGCTGCTGTTGCGTGGCAATATGATCACTGTGCTGAGCAAAAAGATGCTGGACTGGGAGCTGTTGAAGGACCTGGAGCAGTTGGACTTAAGCTGGAACCGTATTATGCACTGTGATAACAATGCTTTGATAAATTTTGACCAATTGAAGCACCTTAACCTGAGTCACAACAAGATTGCAAGGATAGAGGTAGACGCCATAATGAACAACAAACAGTTACAAGTCTTGGACTTGAGTTACAATAAGTTGAACAGGCTTCAGGGTGTCTTTTCTACCCTCAAAAACCTGAATACCCTCTACCTGGACTACAATCAAATTGACCGGCTTGACAGAGAACTATTTACCAATCTGAAAAACTTGCAACTGGTGAGCCTCTCCCACAACCGTCTGACGTCCAATCCAGATCAATTTCCACCAATGATATTCTACAAGCTGTCAGTCGCGACTTTGAATCTGGGATACAACAATTTCATGGAATTCCCTACTGCCCTAGGGGGAGCCAATGTGACCTCCCTTGATTTCAGTGGGAATCCCCTTAAGGAACTTCACAGGGACTCCTTCCAGTTGAGGGTGCAGACCCACCTTAAAGCATTTAGCCTTAACTACTGCCCAAATTTGGAGAGGGTTACACTTGAGTCTTTCTTGAATTTCACAGGTTGGTGTTGATTTTAAATTAATCCAGTAAGACAGTTTCATAGATTATATTCTCTACACTTAATGATGACACATTAGAAATTCCAGTTTTATTTGAGGTAGATTATTTGATTTCAAAACTTGGCTGTTTTATACAGTCCCCGGCCTTGTACAACCTGTGAGGTCTTGTTAAAGTACGTTACATATATGAATATTTGTGAATTTACATTACAGACATTTTTGTAGATGTCATATGACAATTATTTATGATAAATCCATGATGAATGTTAGCATGCACCATCTTTCTCTTAAATAATTCTTTGATTTGCTCTCAATTTTACAGCATTGGTGAACATTTCCATTTCAAATAATCCAAAACTGACCAAGGTTGTTGCAGAGGAAGAAGAGGAACCTGGCCACCTTCAAACCCTCCGCCATGTTTCCCTTCGCAACAACTCCCTGGAATCTGTCAGTGAATTTTTGTTGCCATGGCAACAGCTGCAGTATGCCGACCTGAGAGACAATCCGTGGAGGTGTGATTGCAATCTTCGCTGGATGCTGAGAGTAGAGGTTATTGAGCCACACAATGAGTCTCTGATGTAAGTTTGGAATCCACTGCCGTAACGATATCCCGCTCTGGGGACAGTATTACATACAGACATAAGACCCAAGGCTGCTCTTAGCTTTTAGACCAAACTATTTTCATCTGCTCAGTTTAGGATGAATTTATAATGGTCCACTTCTTTATCAGTAATGATGGTATTGGTGTAAAATATTTTGATGCCCTTTCCTTTCTTTCTTCAAAATGGGTGCTATATAACTCTTACAAAGACCACTGTATTGATTTATCTCCAGTCAAAGAATTATGATATGAAAGGTTAGACCAGTTTTAGATGTTAAGTTCTTTTGAAACTGGATCTTTGTTTTAAATGCAGACTGATTATTTTTGTATACAGATGTACAGGCTTTTTTTTTTTTTTTTTTTTTTTTTTTGTAAATAACTAGGCCCCTAACATAGTTAATACTCACAATATTAGTATGAATTTATCAAATTGCTGAACTGAGAATTAATAAGAAAAACCTGAATTTGCATAGATAATAGATATTAAGTATGGGGATAGAAAAACCCCTTGACTGCGGTACTTTTTTAAACAAGGCTTGCCAGGTTTAGAGTAATGTTTGAGTGGTAGATGTAAATTTTTTATGCATGATATATTATATCCAGCCTGAGTTACAGGCTTAATGCCTGCCATCTTCTTCATATTCCATTTCCATAGGTGTGCATATGGGGAGATTTTAAAAATTAAAATAACATGCCAAGTAAGGGAACTGAAACTCAGGGCAAAGTTTTTCCAGACAACATCTTCCTTTTTTACAAATAAAATTTTTGAAATTTTCAAAAATTCCAGATGTGCTGCACCACCCCATCTGGCAGGTGACCACATATTGAGTGTGAAGTGGGAAGATTTTGCATGTTTCCATGAACTTTGGGCCACAATCACGCGACGTCAAATCACCATTGGTGTGGTGTCTGCCATTATTGTGGTACTGACTGTCATTGGTGCAGTTTTCATGTATAGAAATAAATGGAAGCTGCCTGGACTTTACAAGAAGGTCGGAAAGTATGCCAACATGGAGGAGAGACACAGGGTAGGTGGGATGCAGTGAATGATATGCAAGGTTTTGTGTGTGTTCAAACATGACAAAACTGTCAGTCGGTAGGTCACAAAGGGGACAGCTATCAGGATCAAGTAATGTTTATAAACTGACAGTCAATTTTACAGTTTGAATAAGCATTCACGTGTTGGATCATATACTAGATAAAGACAGTTATAGACTTTCACTATTCGTCAACATTTTCTTTTGCAGACTTTGACCGAAGTCGACATCTAAAAAGGGCTGCATATTCACGCTTGTTTTGATGAGTTTTTTAAAAGAATACTGGTTCATAGAGGGGCAGAATTCACTGCTATACTCTTGAAAATGATCAAAATCAATACTTTCTCTTTTAGGGGGAGAGCACGTCTTGTGCCGAACCTGGAGATATCCAAGTATCGTATAGAGACCAGGATGAAACAGCCCGCATTGACCTAGGCAACATGGACATTGAAGACCTTCAAGATGACACAGAAACCTTGCAAGAAACAGAACAAAGGACTTTGAGATTGAGTTCAACAGACAGAGATGATAATGAGCTATAAAGTTGCGATTTTACCTATAGATGGTGCTCTAGTCCAAGCGAGCCAGGATTCATTCCCAAATAGTATTTAAAGAGAAAAAAGAAGGGTGAGAGTAAATATTGATATTAGCTAAGTTAAAGGGTTTAACTGAAGGTGTGTTCCCACATGGAAAATGACAGAAATAGCTTACTTATGCATAGGTCATACATAAAATGCCATCTTGTTAGTTTTTTAGATTAGGTAGTGTCAGGAGTGGACATTTTAATTGTACCACCAGCGTTAGCGCTGGCGNCACTTGACGCTTCCAATAATTCTATAGTAGAGATCTCAAACAACAGTCTCCCCTATCCCAATCTTCTGTACCTTTTCTTGTCCCACAACCACATATCACGTTTCCAAGAAGGTTGCTTTGATCGCACACAAGTTCTGGAACATCTGGACCTGAATTACAACTTGATCACTCAGCATACCTTTAGTACCCAAACCGTGTTTGCAGGCACGCCGAGTCTTAAAGAGCTGCTGTTGCGTGGCAATATGATCACTGTGCTGAGCAAAAAGATGCTGGACTGGGAGCTGTTGAAGGACCTGGAGCAGTTGGACTTAAGCTGGAACCGTATTATGCACTGTGATAACAATGCTTTGATAAATTTTGACCAATTGAAGAACCTTAACCTGAGTCACAACAAGATTGCAAGGATAGAGGTAGACGCCATAATGAACAACAAACGATTACAAGTCTTGGACTTGAGTTACAATAAGTTGAACAGGCTTCAGGGTGTCTTTTCTACCCTCAAAAACCTGAATACCCTCTACCTGGACTACAATCAAATTGACCGGCTTGACAGAGAACTATTTACCAATCTGAAAAACTTGCAACTGGTGAGCCTCTCCCACAACCGTCTGACGTCCAATCCAGATCAATTTCCACCAATGATATTCTACAAGCTGTCAGTTGCGACTTTGAATCTGGGATACAACAATTTCATGGAATTCCCTACTGCCCTAGGGGGAGCCAATGTGACCTCCCTTGATTTCAGTGGGAATCCCCTAAAGGAACTTCACAGGGACTCATTCCAGTTGAGGGTTCAGACCCACCTCAAAGCATTTAGCCTTAACTACTGCCCATATTTGGAGAGGGTTACGCTTGAGTCTTTCTTGAATTTCACAGGTTGGTGTTGGTTTTAAATTAAACCAGTAAGACCGTGCCATAGATTATATTCTCTACACTTAATGGTGACACATTAGAAATTCCATTTATATTTGACATCTAAACACTGATTTCAAAACTTGGCTGTCTCATGGCCTCGTACAACCTGTAAGTCTAGTTAAACTACATTACATATATGAATATCTGTGAATTTACAATACAGACATTTTTGTTGATGTCGTATGACAATTTATTTATGATAAATTCATGATGAATGTTAGCGTGCACCATCTTTCTCTGAAATAATCCTTTTTCGTGCTCTCAATTTTACAGCACTGGTGAACATTTCCATTGCAAATAATCCAAAGCTGACCAAGGTTGTTGCAGAGGAAGAAGAGGAACCTGGCCACCTTCAAACCCTCCGCCATGTTTCCTTTCGCAATAACTCCCTGGAATCTGTCAGTGAATTTTTGTTGCCATGGCAACAGCTTCAGTACGCCGACCTGAGAGACAATCCATGGAGATGTGATTGTAATCTTCGCTGGATGCTGAGAGTGGAGGTTATCGAGCCACACAATGAGTCTCTGATGTAAGTAAGAGTCCACTGCCGTAACTATATCCCGCTCTGGGGACAGTTTTACTTACAGGCTTAAGACCCAAGGCTGCTCTTAGCTTTTAGACCAAACTTTTTTCATCTGCTTCAGTTTAGGATGAATTTATAATGGTCCACTTCTTTAACAGTAATGATGGTATTGGTGTAAGATATTTTGATGCCCTTTCCTTTCTTTCTTCAAAATGGGTGCTATGTAACTCTTACAAAGACCACTGTATTGATTTATCTCCAGTCAAAGAATCATGATATGAAAGGTTAGACCAGTTTTAGATGTTAAGTTCTTTTGAAACTGGATCTTTGTTTTAAATGCAGACTGATTATTTTTGTATACAGATGTACAGGCTTTTTTTTTTTTTTTTTTTTTGTAAATAACTAGGCCCCTAACATAGTTAACACTCACAATATTAGTATGAATTTTTATCAAATTGCTGAACTGAGAATTTAGAAGAAAAACCTGAATTTGCATAGATAATAGATATTAAGTATGGGGATATAAAAACCCCTTGACTGTGGTACTTTTTTAAACAAGGCTTGCCAGGTTTAGAGTAATGTTTGAGTGGTAGATGTAAATTTTTTATGCATGATATGTTATATCCAGCCTGAGTTACAGGCTTAATGCCTGCCATCTTCTTCATATTCCATTTCCATAGGTGTGCATATGGGGAGATTTTAAAAATTAAAATAACATGCCAAGTATGGGAACTGAAACTCAGGGCAAAGTTTTTCCAGACAACATCTTCCTTTTTTACAAATAAAATTTTTGAAATTTTTAAAAATTCCAGATGTGCTGCGCCACCCCATCTGGCAGGTGACCACATATTGAGTGTTAAGTGGGAAGATTTTGCATGTTTCCATGAACTTTGGGCCACAATCACGCGCCGTCAAATCACCATTGGTGTGGTGTCTGCCATTATTGTGGTACTGACGGTCATTGGTGCAGTTTTCATGTACAGAAATAAGTGGAAGCTGCCTGGACTGTACAAGAAGGTTGGAAAGTACGCCAACATGGAGGAGAGACACAGGGTAGGTGGGATGCAGTGAATGAAATGCAAGGTTTTGTGTGTGTTCAAACATGACAAAACTGTCAGTCTGTAGGTCACAAAGGGGATAGCCATCAGGATCAAGTAATGTTTATAAACTGACAGTCAATTTTACAGTTTGAATAAGCATTCACGTGTTGGATCATATACTAGATAAAGACAGTTATAGACTTTCACTATTCGTCAACATTTTCTTTTGCAGACTTTGACCGAAGTCGACATCTAAAAAGGGCTGCATATTCACGCTTGTTTTGATGAGTTTTCTAAAAGAATACTGGTTCATAGAGGGGCAGAATTCACTGCTATACTCTTGAAAATGATCAAAATCAATACTTTCTCTTTTAGGGGGAGAGCACGTCTTGTGCCGAACCTGGAGATATCCAAGTATCGTATAGAGACCAGGATGAAACAGCCCGCATTGACCTAGGCAACATGGACATTGAAGACCTTCAAGATGACACAGAAACCTTGCAAGAAACAGAACAAAGGACTTTGAGATTGAGTTCAACAGACAGAGATGATAATGAGCTATAAAGTTGCGATTTGACCTATAGATGGTGCTCTAGTCCAAGCGAGCCAGGATTCATTCCCAAATAGTATTTAAAGAGAAAAAAGAAGGGTGAGAGTAAATATTGATATTAGCTAAGTTAAAGGGTTAAACTGAAGGTGTGTTCCCACATGGAAAATGACAGAAATAGCTTACTTATGCATAGGTCATACATAAAATGCCATCTTGTTAGTTTTTTAGATTAGGTAGTGTCAGGAGTGGACATTTTAATTTTTCTTTAGCTGAGAGCATATATGCCATAGTTCCTAAAATTTTGTACATTTGTTTGAAGTGCACCCATGTCTTCATGTGAATTGCTGTTGTGATGATGTTTTATGAGAGCAAATGTTTTTACATTTTACCCCCTTGCTGAGCTTGAGATTAGTGAAACAAGCATGTCAATAACTGCTTGTTTATCATGGTAGTGTCTTTGTTTGTGTAAATATTTTTTGAATATTTTTATTTTGTCATTACGTGGAATGGGAAAGCACTCAATGTTGTACTTTCAAAATAATGTATAGTGTGATGTAATAGTTCAAATTGATATCAATATTTATATGCTTTGATAAACTGCAGCTCTTTTGAAAGGGACCAACAAGCTTAATCGACAAGCTTGAAACTAACACAGATAATTGTCTGCCCATGTAGATATTTAATATAAAACATTCTTTAAAATATGACTTTTTATTAAAAGTATTTTTCAGTGATTTTGTTTGCCCACTGAGATATGCAATGATGCTTTATTTTTGCGCTCATAATGCAAAAGGTGATGGGAGAAGGAAAAAGCAGCTACTTTTTATATAGCAGTCATTCCATATGATGCAAAATGTTTTTCTCTTACATTTTTTTATGTAGGTGAAGGTGAATGTAAAAAGCAATGGAATGTAATTTTCAGTATTATTTTTTAAATGTGAAAGTAATCATCTTGGTGGAGCCTTTTTGAAGTGACACAAAAATAATAACAAAACCATTAACAGTACTTGTTTTATTAAAATCAAATGGAATTGAATAATTTAAAAGAATGATATAGAAAATTAATGTTGTACAGGATCCTGTATATAGATTTGTAACGCTATTAATATTTTTTTCAACATGTAAAAGGTCGCAATTTTACTCGTTCATGTATGGTTTTAACATTTTGATTGTACACTTCTGTATCACGATTTGTAAACTGTGTCATGCATTTAGCAATTATTAATTCTTTTCTTATCAGCTGAGACAATGAACTGCGTACCCCATCAACCTGCCTTGTGTTTCTTTATCCATTTATTTTCATTATTATAATTTTTATTATTATTATCCTCCAATGTGAAAGCATTGCCTGTGTGTGTGTAGGGGGGAGTTCACTTTACGTCCAAATTAAGTTTAATGTAAGATTTGTGTCTCACTGCTATAGTTCCTAGTTACCATTACTGTTTCAACAAAGTTCTTAAAATTATGGATGCATGTTTTTAACACAAAGAACTTGAATGCAGAAATCAACAAACACATTTTATGTCACTTATATGTATAACATACAAAATGCATTTAAATCTCAGCATTTAATTAATAAGAGCTAAATATCTTTAATAAATATTGTCAACAGTGTAAGAGTGCCTGCACTTTCTTTTCACAGTTATTTGTTTAAAATTCGTTTAGTACAAAATCTAATGAGTACTATATGACAAATAAATTATTATGACATAGGACATCTTACACATAATATGATGAGAAATCAACATCAAACATCATTCAAAGTAATTTATCAAAAATGACAATCATTAAGACAATTCAAAACAGGCAAAAATTTCAAATTCATAGATACAATCAATATATATCTAACATTTCTATAAAATAAATATCTATTATGAAACTGCATTATGTACTTATTATATTTCTTAATTAGATGTTTTGCTATTCCATATTTGCAACAAAATTTATTTATAAGATAAAATCAACACAACATGTCTTAAAGCCATACAACACACAAATAAAAACAAAATACATGTACAATACGTTTTTATAAAATACCTTATTGTTAAAAATAAATGGAAGTATCTTCCAAACCCTTAAAACCCCTAAAAAAGATGTAAACTTTGTTCAGATTCACATGTAAATAAATGATTTATTTTAAGTACCCCCCCTCCAAAAAAAAAATGGTCCTGCCACTGCACCTGTATTAACAATTTCCACAGAGCCCATCAATTGCAACACCTGAACAATAACACCAGTCAACCTCTTCCACCAAGACATTTTCACTTATCAGGCTGTGTTATTAATTCTACACATGCAAATATTAATCCTCCAAATGCTGAAATATGAATATGACCTGTCCTGCAGGTTGTTAGATTATGCACTATTATACCCAAAATCTCAGAGTATTGACTCTCTTCTACCTACTTACATATGTAAAAAAATAATAATAAATAAATAAAATTGAATACAAAATGAAAGATCAGGGTGGCTTCAGTAGCCAAGGACTCCATATCACAAAAAACTCATTCAGTAGGTAGCTGGTCTTAGCTTTAAAATGAGAAACTGTAGTTTACTTGACCCCTGATAAGTGTGTGTATTCCTCTGAATGGAGAAACTCTTGATGTCATTTTTTATTTTTGTGAAATTGGCCAACATTCTCAGAAAAGTTGACATTGATTTATTTAAGGTCAAAGTGCACTGAAAGTTCTGCCCCATACTGTGGTGTCCCATAAATGGGTGTCTCTGTTGTTGTAGATCACTTTGCCTCTATGCATAAACTCAGAGTCCTCCTTTGCATATATAATTTTCACATATATAAGTTGTCATACTTGGATTGCTCACACTGCAGACAAAAATATAAATTTATGGCAAAAAACAAAATGGACCACTGGCAAGAATTTTAAACTACATTCACAAGACTCAAATTAAAACAACATAGCAAACAACATAAATAATGGAAAATCACAGATTTGTGGGATACTGTCAACTCTGTAGTAGAGCCTAACCTAGCCACAAGGTTGGACCTTCTTTTCCCAGCTAAGTGGTCCTGTTGACCCGAATCTCTTGGTCAATAGGGGCCGGCTGCTGACTGACCAAGTATCTGGTCATATCCACACCCAAGTCCTGCAGATTCTTAAGGTAGCTTGCTGCATGGTCATCTTTGGCTTTTTCAATTTCTACAAGAAGGAAAATCAAATAAATTCAATTAATTAGTTTATTGGTTTGAGGGTGGTTAGAAGTGTGTGTGTGTGTGTGTGTGTGTGTGTGTGTGTGTGAGAGAGAGAGAGAGAGACTGATTTACAGTGTAGGAAGAAAAATGGGATATCATTCTACAAACTTAATTGGAAATGATGGGATTGATGAAATAAAGATGTGTTAATATACACAGATTTGAAACAAATAACACTAATTTGTATCATCAACTTATTACTTATTTTAACTGAATTAAAATTATCTTCCAAAAACAAAATTTCTGTATGATTTAAGTTAAAGATGAATCTAAAAATTTAGTCAGGTTTTTCGAAGAAAGTGTGCATTTGTGAGTACCTTAAATGAATTACCTTGCTAATGTAATAGATATATTATTACAAGTGACACATTTTGAAATTAAATATTTATAACCCTCTCCAATTTTGCAAGAAAACTTTGATCTACTGAAAACCGAGAGGCAATTTCAATACATAAAGGCAATCCAAAAAGCCTTAGAACTGCTCTTATCTTTACCAACAATTAACATGTGAACAATTAATGAACTGCAATGAACAGCTATACATACCCAGTCTTGCCTTGCTTTCTATATCTTCCTTCTGGAGTTCTGCCTGATGTCTGAGCTCTGTCAGCTTCAGTTCATGCTCCTGTTGTAGTTCTTCAAGTTTCTGGTTGTGTTGCTGCTTGGACCTTTCCATGTCCTGCTCTGGAGAGGGAAATAAAGTTCAGAAAGCAGATATGAGAACATGTCATACTTTGGCATTTTAAAATAGATCATTTATGACTTCACATGAAAAAGTTTAAACATTTGAGATAATAACATTCCTCCTTGCCATAACTCTGTCCCCCTCCAACTTCCTCATGTTTTTATTTCTCAGCCTCTGGTTCTTTTTACATCATTCATGACACACAGCGATATCTAAACACTTAGACTGATCTTAACATGTATATAATTAAGCAACAGGGGTTTTAGTCTCTTCCTCAGGTTACCTCCAGATAATAATTTCTGTTCAGAAGCAAGATCATAATTTATCTGGTTAACTTGGTGGGTCAAGTGCAGGGCTTCCATTTACTAATAGGTGACTCTCTAGCTGTCAATCTCCTTAAGTTTTTCAATACTGATACACACATTACACAAACATGAAAAGGGACCCTCTCTCTCTCTCTCTCTCTCTCTCTCTCTCTCTCTCTCTCTCATATGATTACTTTGCTGTGTTCTGGCCTGCTCCCTGGAGAGAACAAAATCCTTCAGTCTCTGTTGCTGTTCATGAACCTCTCCCGTGAGACGCAGCTGAGTTCTGGACTGGATGGCATCATCATGCATAGACTACAAGTATCATAGGATACAATATACATTATGATACAATATGATAAAGTACATTATTTATATGATGTGTTATAATATGGTAGGATATAATATCTACATAATATAATACAATATGATAAAGTCAGTATTTATATGATATGTTATAATATGATAAGGTATAATATTTACATTATATAATACAATATGATAATGTACAGTATTTATATGATATGCCACAATATGATAAGGAATAATGTTTACATGATATGATACAATATATAAAGGTATATAACATTTATATGACATTTATATTTATAACACCAAGAGGTGTTGTATGACATAAAAAAGTTTTATGCACTAAAATGTTTTTAAAATATAAACCATTTGACATGTGGAGTTCAGTTTATAAGCCAAACATTGATGTAAAGAGAAAGACATTAATACAGTAATTTTCAATTGCGCCCCTCCCCGAATCCCCCTTGTAAAAGAAGCAGTTGGAGTTCTGTAAGACAAGCTTTCTTCAACAAGTTCATAGTCAATCAAACTGCTTGCTAAAAACCACACACATTAAGCTAATCTGACCGATTTCCTTTGGAAATGCGCCTTTATACAGCACCTATCAAGATAGCCTGACCCATCTCCTATGGAAATACGCCTTGACATGCTATTTACCTGAAGCTGTTTTGTAGCATGGTATCCTCTGTACACAACCTTGTTGATGTCGTAACCAATCCTCTCTGCCCTCTGCAGAAGCTGTGGGAAAGTCTCTAACGTACTCAGCTTTTGAGTCTGTCTCAGAAATTCTTCATAGCTAAAATAAACATAACAACATTATCATAGTATATTATACAGCCACCCCTCTCCATAAATATATTTTAATAAAAGGGCTTTTAAAATAACTTGTATTGATATATATATAATATTTGAATTTCAATTTTACTACATTACTGTAAGTACCATTTTATGATAAGTACCATTTTATGATACAATTTGATGTGATATGTGTAATGGAGTGATGCTGCTGATATATACAGAATAATATATAATAATATATACAGAAAACTTTAAGGTCTCTCTCTGATAATAACACAAAGTACCATAATTAGAACATACGTGAGTTTTCCAGCAAAGGCAATCACATCTGCACATACACCACTGGAAAAACAGTAAATAAAACATTTTATTAATTATTTCACATTTAATGATGTCACAACCTATCTATCACTACAACTTTATTTTGAAAATGTTGAAAACCTGTTTATATATTATTTATTTATTTATTTATTTATTTATTTATTTATTTGTTATTTATTCACTGTACTTATAAATCGAATATATTTTGATTTTTTATTATCAGAGTAATAATTATTTTTGTCACTCATTTATTACAAACTGTTAGAATGATATTACTTATTTGTATAAAACAGTTTACTATGTCTCTAAGAAAATGGCAGAATTTTTAAAAGACATATTGGAAACTGTTTTGTAAATATAGGCATTCCTATGACAAGATAAAAATATTTGTCTGGGTCTAGTGAGTAATTATCATACACATCAACCCTATGCCCCTGTAATAAAACCATACTTACTTAATCATATCTGCCATAGGATCATGAGTGGTTTCCAGCTGCAGTGACAACCAGTACAACATATATCATAAATATTATACACATGAATATGATTATCTACAGGTATACAAATATGTATTCTGATAAAATGATCAAAATAAGATAATTAGATAAAATGTTTGAAGCACAAGCTGCATAGTGTTGCACAAATACAGACTATTAAATATGTCTTATTATCAGTGCCCTCCACATTCTTTTAAAATATTATTACAGTAACTTCTAATGGATTTTTCATCATATATTATACTATACCATATTGAAATATGCAAAGAATGTCAATCTCTAAATGCAGCTTGTTGTGCCCAGGGTTTATCTCATAAAAGAACTCACCATTTTAATAATATCCTTCAACTCACAGAATATCATCAGTTTGACAGTGATCATGGTGTCATCTATTGTGCGTACCTCTCCAATCTGGAAGAAACAGTAAGTTAGAGGGGTGTTTGTAAGGTTTGTTATTTGAAAAATCTTTTGACTTCGCATGTAGATTATTGGTTTAAGGGAGTTAGCAAAGGAAATGTCCCCCCCCCCCCCACCATCTCACCTATCTTCTTCTCTAATTATTTTACAAGGTATTGCCCCCAAAATTGTCCTAGTCAAATCTTGTATCTGCCAATAGGTTCTGTCCCTAAGTCTATCTGTGTTTCAAAGATTACAGGATAATGAACAAAGTTTCTAGAAATATTATGAATTCACAAATTGTGAATTTTTTTCTTTAAAATAATTTTGACATTTGTCCTCATGTATTATTTGAAGTCTGTTTGACATAACTTCTATGCTTAAAGCAAATAAACCAAATAATAAGTTAAGAACATTTGCAAAGTAAAATCTGGTGGTTAATCATTTATCTTGATGATAACTTACATTATAATAAAAGTGATCAGGTATCACAGGAAGCTGACTGAATGTCCAAGACCCTGGAACCATTCTCCCCTCGTTTGAATAATCTGGTCCATGCCATTTAAACTCATGAAGCCTAAAATCCCAAGGTACATGAACACAGTTATAAGAAATTTGTATGCACTGTGCCCATTACAAATATGTTTATGCCATTCACCCTATAAACCCATAACAATTCAACTGATCTTAGTAATTTCAAAACTCAAATAAGTAATCACATTTTTCCTCTGTTTTAAAACTAAGACAAATAATCATTTCCATATACAGTACCTGGATTTTTAAAAACAGCTAAATTAAAACTGATATTTACCATTCTTCTGCCTCTGGCATGAAAACAGTAGGGCCATCTATGACCCTTCTCTCAACAACCTGATCTGATCTTTTCTTGTAAACCACAACAACATGGTTGGCATCTATCTGTGTTCCATCTCTCACGTAGATACTTTCGTGCTCTAGGGGGTTACAAAACATGCTGCAGGGGCTGAAATTACAATGAGGGGTTTACATTTTAAGTTTAATGAGTTGGCATGCATTTTAACAAGTTTTTCTACAAAACAGTTATAATTTCATTAAAAAATAATATTATTATTTAAAAAACAATAACAACAAAAGGAAAAGAAATATCTTAAAGTTTAGTATAATTTCTTTTGTAATGTTGATATCTAAAGAAAGAGAGACAAGATTCAAAAGCAATACAAAAAAAAAAAGAAGGGTGAAACAACAACTCTGTATAAAACAGTCAAAACACCAATTTTACAATTCACAATATTCTCTGGACACAAAATTAGAATCTCACCCTGGCCTGTGTGTAACTCTACCATCTTTGTCCTTCACTACCAAGTACTGATACTGGTTAGCTGTGCATAAATCCAAAAACTGGAGTCTCTTCCTAAACAGGAATATCTAAAGAAAAGAAAAACAATAATAATTAGTACCACCTTAGCACCATACAGCATGATTCTGATTCTTCTCTGGTATTGTCTTATTACTTATTTATTCCTACTTCAGTTGGCTTTATTTTGGCATACTCACTTTATGAAAATAATTTAGATGTTATTCCTGTCCACAGTGTATTGCAAAATATAAGGGTTGATATTATTCACCACCTTGTAATGATAATACTGTGGCCTAGCTCTTACACCTTGTGGTACATTAAATGTTATCTGCCTATATGAAAACCATGCATTAAAACTGTGTTACTGATAGCAGGATTGATGGATGCCAAAATTTAAGATACCAAATAACACAAGAGATATTATGGTGACCAGTGAAGTTTCTTTTCTTCTCAGATTTTTAAGAAGCAAATTCCTCGATTTTGCAGCAGTGTACAAATGGATGCTAGAGACAAGGGGGGGG